CCCGCATCGGGCTCCCTGCTCGGCAGGAGTCTGCTTCTCCCTCTGACTCTCCTCCCTCTCATGTTCTCTGTCTCTCATTCTCTCTCAAATAAATAAATAAAATCTTTAAAAAAAAAACAAAAAACAAAAACGAGGTAACAGAACACTTGATTCCTATCCTTACACTGGAAAGTCAAGGCTTGGTAAAGTTTGTGCAAGTTTAGTAAACCCAGTATCCGATACAATTTGGTGTGCATATATAACTCAAGATAAATCACCAAATCATGTATAAGAGAAGAAAAGGGAACTGAAGTTGTAATGAGGACCAACACTTTATGCCAGGTGCTAGGTACTTTTACTTATGTTTTCCCATTTGATCTCCACCACATCATTTAAGCTTGTAATTATCCCCCTTTGACAAAGAAAGCGGAGGAGGTGAGAGGTTATATGAGTTGCACAAGGTCAGCCAGCCAGTCCCAGACTATTACATATTCCTGGCTCTGGAGAGAAAATCATTTTCCTATGTCTGCAGAGAAGTCAGAACTACGTCATTTTTTGTATATCCAGGTATTCTTAGTTTTCACTCTTACAAGCAGTGACCTCACCAACTGTTTTTTTTATTTTTCCCCTTTGGAAAAGCCCCTATGAGCTCAGATTGAAAAGGCACAGAATTTCTTCCTTTCTTTCTTTTTTAAGGATTTATTTGAGAGAGAGAGAGAAAGAGAGAGGGTGAGCACGGTGGAGAGGGGTAGAGGCAGAGGGAGAGAGAGAAACCTCAAGCAGACTCCCCACTGAGCACTGAGCCTGACGCAGGGCTTGATTCCACAACCCCGAGATCATGACCTGAACTGAAATCAAGAGTCAGACACCCAATCGACTGAGCAACCCAGGCATCTTGTACAAGAATTTCTTTTAAAGGGATGATAAATCTTTGTCATACTCTTTCCCAGCAACCCATCCATGCATCTGTCCACCCATCTCTCCATTCAATGTTTACCAATTACTTCCTCTCTGTACAAGGGACCACCGTTAAGTGTCCTTTTTAAGAGGTACATTCACAAATTTCTCAGAACATTAAAACTTGATATTGTCAACACGTTCAGAAGATGTTTCAGAGACAGCTCCGCATCTGGGAATAGATCTCTTCACTTATTCATAAATGAGAGAAAGGGAAGGAGGGCAGAAAAAAAAAGCATTCAATTAATTCTCTGTCTTTCTAGAAAGACACTAGAATGTAAACCCTTCAGAGCAAGGATTCTATATGGTTTGTTCATGAACATATCCACAGGGCTTCTTGGAACAGTGCCTGGCACATAGTAGGTCCTCAAAATATTTGCTGAATACAACAAATGAATGAATGAATAGGTAAGCAAGGCGATGGGCAGGAAAGATGGAGGGAGAGGGAAATAGATTGAGGGAGGCATGGCCTGAATGGCTTCTCCTTAATCAGGGTCTTGAATTAAGAATTCAGAATCATCTTCAAACAGCTTCACATACTTCTCCCAGACCCTAGAAACTTACTTTATTGAGGGCCCCAGCTCCGGTCAGAATTAAGTGAGAATTTTCAACCTGGATGGTTCTCTGTCCCAGCCGGACAAGGTAAGCCCCAATCCCAATGGCCCGGCATGTAACCTTCAAAAAGAATAAATTAAAAAAAAGAGAGAGAGAGAGAATAAATTCTACATGTCACATATTTATGTCCTTTCCAAAGTGTAAGAACTAAGGCACAGATGTATAAAATACACATTAACAGAAAAAAATATTGCTTTCTACAAAGTTTGATTAATAATATTAAGCCCCATGGGCGCCTGGGTGGCTCAGTCGTTAAGCGTCTGCCTTCGGCTCAGGTCATGATCCCAGGGTCCTGGGATCGAGTCCCACATCGGGCTCCCTGCTCGGCGGGAAGCCTGCTTCTCCCCCTCCCACTCCCCCTGCTTGTGTTCCTGCTCTCGTTATCTCTCTCTCTGTCAAATAAATAAATAAAATCTTTAAAAAAATAATAATAATATTAAGCCCCACAATTCCCTGGTCAAAGAAAAGGTACAGAAACCGCTGAATGATTCAAGTATTAGACACTTAAAGGTTCACAGGCCCTTTACTTCTCTTATACTTTTGCCTGTTTCACAGATGCTTGGCATCTACACTAGAGGTAAGAACAAGGAAAGTAGTACAAAAAGAAATTCAAGCTGTTACAGCTCTGTTTAGAGAAATAAGTTAAACTAAAGGCTAAAATGAGGCGCTAGGCTTATCTGGGAAATTAAATTATTTACATTATCATGCACAGTTGAAATCAAATTGTAGATATATAATTTTTAAGAAATGTTCTCATTTGGGACTGAATACAGAGATGGGACAAAAATAACTCCTAGTCACACAGTCAGTTCTTCAAAAATGTTATATTCCATTAAGATTTACCAGGCTGATGGTGATGATCTCATCATAGGCCAATGAGGATTCGCCAGCAATCATTCCAGAGCCTCGAAGGTTCTCTGCTCCAAGTCCCTCTTCCTTTCCAATAATATCAGTTATCTTGTACCTATTGGATACAGCCATGCCAAATTATAAAGGTTAAACCCAAGAGTAACAATCCATTAAAATAACAATCACCATTAAAAGGCTGCTAAAAGCATCCTGAAAGCTCATTTAAAGCCAGTGCTGTATACTCTTATACTTTTCATTCATTTATCTTTCCTCCTTAGCTTGGTGCCTATTTTTGCTGGAAGCAATATAGTATAGCAGAAAGAGGAAACTCTGAAATGAAGCAGACAGGCTTAAATCCCTGCTCTGACACATGCAGCCATGTAACTCTGGGGATAATAGTAACTTCTGTAAAATGGAGATAATGTCTACCTCTAAGGGTTGACATGAGAGTTAAATTAAAGCAACAAAGAAAGGGCTTGACACATATATGGCGCTCCGATTTTAGATGCCCTCTCTTACTTTCTAGGACAAGTTTCTTAAAAGTGGGGTCAATGTAGATCTCTCTATAATCAGCAACAGCCATTAAGTCAACAATTTTAGATAAATGTTACAAAGGAATAATAAAACAAAAAATTCAGAGGCCAAGTGAGAATGCTCAGCCCAATTTCTCAAGTCAAAAAATCCTTTCTCTTTCCAAGACAGGACTAAGGGTAAGATCAAAATAGTACATGCCCATTCCTGCTCTTTCGTAAATATCACGTGCCTACAGGAGCGGTCCTGGCTCTAGTGTTCTGGAGGGGCAAATGGAATGTGTGTGGAAATGAAATACTGGCCAAATTGTCCAGAAAGCATCCTGTGGATCCAGTGGGAGCCACTCATCTGTCTTCTTGGCAGGGAATTTAGGAGTGATAGCTGATAATGGGAAGTGGGAGATGGGGAATGCAACTAATAAAAGAAAGGAAAAATACAAAGTTGGAAGTAGAGATGGGCGTGTATTATTTACTGTTCTGTGTGTACCCAGAAAGCTTGGCACTGGGCATGGTTTAATACACTGAAATAATAAATAAATATCCCATGGTGGCTCTTAAACTACTTTTTTGCCCTCATATTTCTCTGTTCCCTTCTTTCTTTACTTCTAACCTTCCACCCATTCCTTCCCTTTGTCCTTGCCCTTGGTCTCTGGCTTTGCATCTTTGCTTCCCAGATTCCCTTGTCTTTCTATTTTTAGCCTCTCCCAGAAATTCTCCAATTCTTCCTTTTGCTCTGCATCTAGGCTCTAAATTCTAGAGTTATGTTGCACGCAAAGCTAATCTCCCTTAAGGGGTTAAAGGGCCACAGTAATTGGAGGGGGGCTTAATGTGTCCTTTCTGGAAGGCTCACATGCCATGTAGTCACGAACACTCAGGTCCAGTCAGCCTTCCCTGCAAAGCAGATCTTTTCCCTCCTAAGGACTACATACCGCTTCAGTATTCATGACTTGTTAAGTGACATCTTCTCCCTTTGTATTACATGAAAAAGAATACAAATTTCCCATTTTCTGCTCTATGATCTGAGTCTTCTACCATTAAGACTATCTTTGTTTGAAGTAGTACTAAATTTTATGTTATTTGTAATAAAAATCTTTGTGTAGTGTAATACAATTAACAAAACATTCATAAATACATTATGATTTTTGATCCTCACAGCAATCCAGTATAGTAGGTAATATCCTCTCCATTATTACAGATAATAGTGGCCAGGATTTTTGACTGCTTACTATGTACTCAGTGCTGTGCTAAGGACTTTACATATATTAATTCACTTGATCTTCATTTTACAGATGAGGAAACTGTAGCTGAGAGAAGAAAAATGTTTTGCTTTAAGAAAAGCAATATGCAAAATCAATAGCTTTTTCTTTAAAAATAGAATTTATTTATTTATTTGAGAGACAGAGAGCACGAGACGGGGGAGGGTAGAGGGAGAAGCAGACTCCCTGCTGATGGCGAGCCCGATGTGGGGCTTGATCCTGGGACCCCGGGATCATGACCTGAGCTGAAGGCAGATGCTTAACTTACTGAGACACCCAGGCGCCCCACAAAATCAATAGCTTTTAAAAATAAAGTGTTAAAAAATATGGGGAGGGGGAATCCCATTCAGAATAGCAAGAAAAATATTTAGGAATAAACATTTAAAAAACGACAAAAATCCCATTATACCCACATGGTGCCTCTGGTGTCACGGTGAACTGCGAGGGGCACTGCGGGATATTTTATTTTATTTTATTTTATTTTTAAAGATTTTATTCATTTATTTGAGAGAGAATGAGATAGAGAGAGCATGAGAGGGGGGAGGGTCAGCGGGAGAAGCAGACTCCCTGCCGAGCAGGGAGCCCGATGCGGGACTCGATCCCGGGACTCCAGGATCATGACCTGAGCCGACGGCAGTCGCTTAACCAACTGAGCCACCCAGGCGCCCGCTGCGGGATATTTTAAATATCTGAGAGGGAACACTCTGATATGGAACATCTGTTGGATTCCACATGAACTACTAGATTTAGGTAGTTCATAATTAAACATTAGATAATACTACATTCCTTTTGACAATGTCCTATCTTTGCAAAGCTGGGTTTTCAGTTTCTGTGGAAAAAAAAAAACAACAACAAAAAAACAAAAAACAAGTTCTGTACAAAAATCAATGCAGAACAAGAAACAAGGGTGGCGACATCCAAGCTGAATCTAAGTCTTGAGATTTCGTATAGATGGAGATATCCCATTAGTAAGTAAAATTACTTAATTGCTTAATTGTAATTATTTAAAAATAAAAAAAAAACCTTTCCATTTATGTATATGATAATTCCCAAATAATTACTGTTAGAGTATAAATACTTATGAAGTTGTTTGGGTCTGACTACTTAATAAACAGAAATATTGGGTATAACTTTTAGCCCAAAGGTGCTATGAAAACATTACTGAGACAGCAAGGGTGTTATGAATCAAGAAAGAATGGGAACTTCTGGCATAACCTATATGAAGAAAATCACAAGACTTTAAAAGATGCACCTGAATAAATGGAAAAGCATGTTCCATGTTTCTTGCTGGGAAGAGTTAATATTATGAAATGTCAGATCTTCCTACATTAATTTATAGATGTAAGTTGAATCAAATCATTATGGAAAGTTTTTGGTAATTAAAAAAATGAATCTAAAGAAAAAGATAAAAATAGCTAATAAAACATGGGGGAAAAAATTAAGAATGTGGGGAAATCTGTCCCGTTAAAATAATGTGGCATTAGCTCAAGAACAGACAGCACAAAAAAACCAATACAAAGCCTAGTAATTGAGTTGAGATTATTATAAAAGTGAGGACAGCATGCATTATTCAATAAATGGTATTGGAGTAGTTGATTAGCAATCTGGAAAATACTTGCAGATAGATTGTAAAAATGTTCAACCTCACTAGTATTCAAAAGTACCAGTTAAAATAATTGCTGTTTTAATCTTCTTTTATTAATTGACAATAATCAATATTGGCAAGGGTGGAGAAAAATTAAAGGGGAAGAACATACTATCACATATTGCTGCTGGGAGTGCAGACTTGGGAGGGCAATTTGAATTTATCAAAAATATCTTTAAAATAGACATATTTTTGGCCAGTAATTCCACTTTTAGAAATTAGCCCAAAGGGAATAATGAGAGATATTCCTAAAAGTTTTTATAAAAAAAACATTTAGCCCAGGAATATAGCAGTAAATAGTGCAAATAGTCTGAAAGTTCAAAATAAAATATTTATTATGATAAATTACTATGAAGCCATTAAATATCATATTCTCATATAATATTTTAAGAATATACAAAATTCCCCCCAAAATAGTTTTTAGTGAAAAGAACAAATTACAAAAGAGTTTTTCTATTATGATTCTGATTATGTAGAAAGAAGGCATATATATACAGAAAAGACAGCAAGAATATAATATACATTAATAATTGTGATCTCTCGGGGCACCTGGGTGGCTCAGTTGGTTAAGAGTCCGACTCTTGATTTCAGCTCAGATCATGACATCAGGGTCGTGAGACCGAGCCCCATGTGGGACTCTGCTCAGCGGGGAGTCTGCTGGAGATTTTCTCTCTCTCTCTCTCCTTCTGCCCTCCCCCTGCTTGAACTTGCACCCTCTCTCTTTCTCTGAAATAATAAATAAATCTTTAAAAAAAATTGTTCTCTCTCGGTAGGATTGTAGCTGGTTTTTATTTATTCTTCATAATTATTCACATGTTCCAACTTTTCTAAAATGAATAAATATTATAAACATAATTTAAAAACCTCAATCAATCGGGGCACCTGGGTGGCTCAGTTCGTTAAGTGACTGCCTTCGGCTCAGGTCATGATCCTGGAGTCCCGGGATCGAATCCCACATCGGGCTCCCTGCTCGGCAGGGAGTCTGCTTCTCCCTCTGCCCCTCCCTCCTCTCACACACTCTCTCTCTCTCAAATAATAAAAAAACTTTAAAAACCTCAATCAATAAGGTCTTCAGCTAATTAGTGGTAGACCTATGATACAAACCTAAGACTTGCAGATTATGTAACAAGCAATCTTCATTGCTCTTCAAGGTCATCATCAGCGGCACAGTGAGGAAGAAATGATCATACTCTCCTATCTTTAATCCATAGCCAAATTATTCTACTACATATATACTTACCTGGATTCTCCTTCATCCTCTACATGTTCACAATGGACAGAGTTGAGAGCACTGACTCTCTTATAATCCTGAGGGGTCAGATATAAATATTTGTATCCCTGTGGAGCACAAATAGTTTCTAACTCATTATTTGCTATCAGCACATAACCAGAAGACACCACAGAGCATGCATAACACAGCTTGTCCCAAAGCTAGCTTTAAATTGCCACATCGCTTCTTAGAGTTACTGTCTAATGGAATACCAGCATAGACAGTTCTCCTTTGAAAGAGGGAGGTGCCTATTTCTCCAGTCACTGACTGTCCTTGAAACAAGGTATCTTGTAGCTACAACTGCAAGAATATTCCATCCATTTCATTTTCATCTGGTTTAAAGGGTCATTTTCTGATCTTTTGTGACACCTCTATTAAAGATATCAACACAAAATAAAAAAACTGTTTGGAGTACTATTCTTTACTTTCTCAAATCCATAGTACCATCAAAATATAAATGGGTAAGAGATAATTGAAAGGATCATAAAACTGGGAAGGCAATATTAAAATCAGAACTCTATGCAGTGATAATCATCAGTGAACACTGAATTCATGCCTTTTGCTGTTTTCAATAAACAACTTGTAATTCCTATTTACATTTAAAAAATTATACTAACTTTTTGTAATTATTTATACACACACTCACAAAGTAGGTTTATAGGATATATGTGTTGAACTTAAGTGAATTAGTCACACAGTCAAAAAAAAAAAAAAGTAAGCAAGCAGCAGAAAACGTTTTAAATACTGTGAGAAATTATGCCAATGTTTAACTCAATGAATTTGTCCCACAGTGAGCACAACATGCAAGAGACATGAATCTGTCACTGAATTTCTATGACTTATGACAAGAACCTTGTAGTGTTCAGGGTCATTAGTAGGTCAGTCACCACGTATTTACTGAGTGCCTCTTATGGGCAAGTGTTCTAGACACTGGAAAAACAGGAATGAACAAAACAGACAAAATTTCCCAGCCTTATGGAACTTATTATGTTCTAGTGAAAGAGATGGAAAAAACACAAATAAATAAGACATATAATATTAATGAGAATAGCGTTTAAGGAAAAGAAAAAAGAGCATTCCAAGAGTTGAACTTGTAGAAACAAAAGTCCAGGGAAGACTTCACTGAAAGTGGCATTTGAGTAAGGCCTTGAAGAAGAGAAGGAAACAAAACATGATGATATCAGGACAGGGTGGGGAGGGTGGGGGGTGGAATTCTAGGCAGAAGGAACTGTAGGTGCAGAAGTGTGGAGGCATGAGTGTGCCTCATGCAGTTCCAGAAAAAGTAAGCAGGCCTGTGGAGCCAGTGTGGAGTGAGACTGTCTGCAGCAAGAAATGAGGGAGGGTGGTATTGGAAGGCCAAGCTATGTAGGGCCTTGGGTTAAAATTCATGTAACATAAAACTGGACATATTTTTTTAAGTAAGCTCTATGCCTAATGTGGGGCTTGAACTCACGACCCTGAGATCAAGAGTCGCATGCTCCACTAACTGAGCCAGCCAAGCACCCCAAAACTGGTCATTTTAAAATGAATAATTCAGTAGTTTTTCTTATATTCTGATGTTGTGCAACCATCACCATTCTCTGATTCTAGGGCATTTCCATCACCCCAAAAAGAAACACAGTCACTAACAATTTCCATACACTTTTAATATGAATTCTATTGAAGCGTAATTTACATGCAATAAAATTCACTGATTTTAAGTACTGTAGTGTGATGAGTTCTGACGAATGTGGATACTTGGGAAATCACCCCCACAATCAAAATATAGAATATTTCTATCATCCCCTGAAACACTCTTACATTTAAAAGATGTCTCAGTGAAGGAAACTGAGAAGGAGCACTTAGGAAGATAAAAGGAGACTCTGGGGCCTAGAAGCCAAGAGGAGAAAGTATTTCAAGGATGAAGGAGTGACCAACTGTGTCAAAGGCTGCTGAGACACTCAGATGAAGACTGAGAGTCGTGACAGACTTTCACAGTATGGAATCCATGGTGACCCTGACAAAGCAGCTTCAGTGGGCTGGTGAGGGTGCAAGCCTAACTGAAGTGGGTTCCAAAGGAATGGGAGGAGAGTATCTGGAGATAGCAAGAAGACAATGCTTTTAAGAAGCTTTGCTGTCAATAAGGATAGTGAATGGAGTGCTATTTGTGAGGTAACGGGGTAGATTTAGTAGAGGGAAAAAATGAGGATGCAAGAAGGAAAGGGTTAAGCGGATAAGAGTGACTGGCCTTAGATTGGAGCAGGGACTGTTCATCCAAAGTACAGGGGAGATGCAGAGAATAAAGGCACAGATGCAGATATGTGGGAGCTTATGAATGCCCTCTTCTTGTTCCAATTCCTCAGTGAATTGGGGAGCAAGGTTGTCAGCTAAGAGGGATGATGGGGCAAGAGGGTTTTGGAAGTTTACGGAGAGAGGAGAAGATGTGAAATTGTCATTTGGGAGGTTCATAAATGAATTTAAAGTAAGACCAGTCTATAGCACTGGATATTTTTCTCTATCAGCATCCAGCTATGCTGGTTCACATATGTGAGTAAATGGAGAATATTGGATTTAAACAAGGTTTTTGTAAAGAGACAGAGTAAGCAGGGCGCCTGCATGGCTCAGTTGGTTAAGCGACTGCCTTCGGCTCAGGTCATGATCCTGGAATCCTGGGATCGAGTCCCGCATCGGGCTCCCTGCTTAGCGGGGAGTCTGCTTCTCCCTCAGACACTCCCCCCTCTCATGCTCTCTCTCTCTCAAATAAGTAAATAAAATCTTTAAAGAAAAAAAAAAAGAGTAAGGAGAATGAGGAGAGAAGCAAAGAGAGTTGAGGGTGTAGGGAAGGTGGTGATTATAATACGATTATAATGATTAACCTATTATTGACCATAGAATGTAAGCTGAGGATGTAAGGAGGATGGAGGCAAAGAAAGGGATGGTTGAAATTAAGATCATGGGGAAGAAGAGGCTGAGCTGGGGCGGAGGACAGAAAGTCAAGGATTTAAGAGGCTGGATTATGGGATGGATCATCTACATGGATATAGAAGTCACCAAGAATTGTAACAGGGCTCGTTGTATTGGAGCAAGTGACAATGTGCCGGCAACTAAAACATGCAAAGAATGAGGAGGAGTGACCAAAGAGGTGGGGACCACTCTAGTAAGTGGTGGTTTAGCACAGTCTGATGGCATGAGATTCGAAGATGGGCGTTTTCAGAGAGAACAGTGTGGCAGAAGGGTCTGGAAGCAGTGATGAGGCACAAAGAAGACACTCTTGCCTCTCCAGGCTCAGTGGGACAGGGAAAGAGAGAAGAGAGATATCAGTCACTCTTTAAGAGGGCTATAGGGAAAGCAGGGTCTTTAGAGGACAGGCAGATTTCAAGTAGAGAACAATCAGAGAAGAAGCTGAGGATATAAGGGCTTTTGTAAATGACTGACCATAAGTTCTGGAAGCCACAGTGGAATAGTTTAAAGATAGATATTTCTGGCTTAGCATGTCTCACGCTGAATGCATATCTATTTCCTCTTGTGTTCAACCCAAGAAAACAGCAATCTATTTCAAAGCTGGAGGAAAAAAAACTAGGTGAATATACTGAGAGACAATTTGTCTCCAACATGGTTATGGCTCACTGTAAGTCCTGACTTTTGAACTTAAACCTCTACCTTTCCCCCAACCTATTTATTCGTGTGGACACACACGTGCATGCGCACACACATACAACCATGTATTGTCTTGAAGTTTTATCTTTGCTTAGTCTGTACCTTGTAAGGATCCTCAGGATCTACCCAGGCCACGTGAAACATATGACGAATTTCCTCTGCCAGTCCAATTCTTGCTCCACTGTTGGCTGCTACAAAGATGCGTGGGATACCCTCTGCCCTGGCAAGCTCAGAAGCTCTGAGAAACAGCAAATCCTCCTGGGGCCCAAAGGACCCAATTCGGTATGTGATGTCATTGCCAATAACAATGATATCTCGGCCTTCTGGGTATTCAGGACTTTTAAGGGTCATTTTCCAAGCTACCATGCCAATCTGCAAAGGCATAGAGAAACAAATAAATAGAAGCTTCTTACATGCAGAATTTTTTTTCAGGTTCCCTGAATGTATCAGACTATACCTTAGACACAGCCTTCATGTAAAGATATTTAGTGCTGAAGAGCCAAGTTTCCTGTGGGAAGCTAAAACAAACATTCTAGCACACTTCTCTAGGTTATGGTGAGAATAGTTGGTTTACTATGTATTTCACAGTTGTTTCAATCTGCTTAAAGATGGAAAAACCAAAGTTTAAATGCACTCAGGATACATGTGGAAGAATGCCATGGTGCAGGGAATTAAATCCCAAACTCCCTAATTTACTACCCTATCTACTAAGACACTAAGGTCCATCTTCTGTGAGAGTCTTTCTGAAAAACTTCTTACACATGTGAGGAGAGCAACAAGAGAATGACCTGCCATGAACTATAGCACTTTTGTGATCCTGGATCCTTTTACTGTTCTCTAGCATTTGACAGGAGTAATAGCAGCGTTCTTTACTGGCTTGCTTTAGGTATCTTCCATTTCTGCAAGAATTCACTAGAGCTCAACACCGCATCCTTGGGAGCATCTCTTGACACTTTCTCCCAGCACCAGAAAACCAAAGCACGCAAGGAACGATATATGTAAATCTCTACTCTCTGTTCAGTAGCATCTGACCAGCCACACAAATGATATTGACTCAAAAGGCAGGGGTGACATGTCTCTTCCCAAACCCTCCCAGTCCTCTCTTCTTTTAATCCCCTTCTATATGAGATCTAGTCAGTCCTTCTACTTGTTTATTTGCTAGTTCCATTTCTTTTCTATTCACTCATACCCCAGTTACAGCTGCAGTTTTTCATGCCTGCCTGTCTGTTTCCCTATACCCAGATAAGTAATGTTTTCCATTCTTTTTTTTTTCCCATTTTTCTGTCTCCCCCGCCCCCCACACTCCCACCCCCTCCACTTGCTCCCAAACACAAAGCCTACCAGATGATCATTCCTGGTCCTGCCTAATGGAGCCCAGCCACATCTGCAGCCTTGGTCCCTCATCCCCAGGCTGCTGCATATCACCTCATTGGGGAGCCGGCCATCAAGAAGGGCCATTAACAGATGTAAATAGCAGCATCCCTGGAAAGCCACATGCATCACCCAGACTCAACCGGGCCAGTGATCATAAGCTCTGAGTACACATTCCTCAATCCAATTGCACATCCACTGTAATCAGGCTGGTTGAAGCTTTCCACACAGCTATTTGTGATTCTCAGAATTAAGAAATATATATATGAAACACCCACAGATAAATATAAGCTATTTAATATATCATACCATTGGCCAAATACAAATCAAAATGGATATAATACACAGAAAAAAATCCAATCACCTTCCGAGATAAGGTATTACTCTATCTGCTCATTAAAGACACAGAAAGGAAGGAGAAACAGATCTTCCAAAATATAGCACGGAGAAACTGCAAATATCGGGATAACTTTGGTCATGGTTTTTAAGAAGCTGGCTAATATAATGCCTGTGTGGGGAGAAATATTTTACACCTGCTTTCTCACGTGGCCCTCTAACCTAACATCTCTTGTTTTTCAGGAAGGAAAAGCTATTTCCTCTAAATGCATTTGTAGTTAGGAAGATTGGGTTTTACACCAAATTTTATGATATATTAACCTTAGCCACCTAGGCTAGAAGTAGCTTAGAGACAAGCCTTGACGAATCTACTTCAGCATTTGCATGCTAATGCAAACATCTTGTCTGTGTGGCACTGGGCAGGCAAATAATACTCTTATCTTTTGTTATTACCTGGGGACTCTAACTGTGTCACTTGGGCAGTCAGTTCAGCAATTGGCTAGGTCATTATGCTTGCAATATTGACTTCTAATTAGGTGTCAACACAGCAGCACCAAGAACACACTACTCTTTATCAATGTCTTTCCAAAGTGTGTTCCTCATCGACCACCTCCCTCCTTCTTTAAAAAGTACCATTACAGAATGGAGAGTGCTATCCCAGCCTTTGTATAGTCAGACTCCCTACCAGAAGAGATTAAGTTTTGAGTGAGCATATGGATAAACATCCAAGAAGGCATCTATTGCTCAACTTATACTGAAATTTAGATTTTATTGCTAATTGAACAATAGGGCACATAATGGAGAAGATGGGCTTTGGAGTCAAACTAACTTCGATCCATATCTAGGCCCTATCACTTGCTAATTGTGTGACCTTGGAAAAATAACTTTATTGAGCTTCAATGTCCCCACACATACAAAACTAACAATGTCTATGGGTTTGATGAATCAATTACTCCAAATGGCAATCTATTATATTAACTTCAACATACAAAATTTGCCCCTTTCTCTCCTCTCAGCGTATCCAAATCTTAACCCATTCCAAAAAGATTCATTCAAATTCCATTTCCTCAGTAAAGCTGTACCTAGCCTCAAGTGACCCCTTTCTTCTCCGATCTCCTACTAAGACCTTCATGTAGAGAATTCATTCAATAATTAATCATATATTGCTTAGGACCGTTTTTAGCTTGCCAGCCTAAACCATTATATCATCTCCTCCAGTGCCTAGCAGGATCCCAACAGATAATATGGGAGTAATAAATATTTGCTGGTTCCATAGTCATTTCATTTTTTAAATGATTCTTGGAAAATAGTCAACACCAAGGGCTAGAACACTGTCTATGACTTATCTCTAGGGATCACAGAATAACAGTCCTAAACATCATTCAACTATTTTATTTTTTAAAAAATAACAAGAATAATAGCTACCATTAATTGAACATCTATCACAAGCTGTACTATACTAAATATGGACAAATACTGACAATAGTTAAGAGGTTAGTCTGGGGAATATCATCCTACCTTGATCCAAATCTCAGCTTTATTCTAGCTATATAATCTTGAACCAATCACTTAACTTCATATAGTCTCAATTTTTCCAATTATAAAAAGTTCTCAAATTATTAATTCAGAAGCAACTGTTATTATTGCCTTGAGAAAACTAAGGTATAGAGGAATTAAGTAACTTGTCCTTATAGCTAGTACGTTTATTTTTTAAAAATACAGTTCACATAATTTCCTTTACTAGAGAAATTAAGGAAGCATATTCCAGACTAGTGCCACTGCAGTTAGCAGAAACAATATAGAAAGATGAACATCAATTATAACACAAACATAAATGTCATTGACACCTAAATTCAATGTGGTATTCTGGAACAGAAAAAGGACAGTTGTAGAAAAACTGGTGAAATCCAAAACAAAGTCTGTATTTTACTTACTAGTATTGTACCAATGTTAGTTCTAAGTTTTGATAATTATACCATGGTTATACAAAATGTCAACATTAAAAAAATCAATGGTTTTATTTAGATATATTTTAACACACCTCTTTCAGCCTACATAAAAGATTATTTGAGTAACAAGAATAATGTAAGATGTTAACATTAGGTATATGGGAACTCTCTGTACTATCTTTGTAACTTTTCTATAAATCTAAAATATTTTAAGATAAACAGTTAAAAAATAAATGTCATGATAAAAACTTTTCCTTCTTTTGGAGGGAAGTAAACTGGCTAATAAGGTCATCATTAGTATTCTGTACAGCCTTACAAAATGATGGCTATGAAGACCACAAATAGCATATTAAAATGCCCATGATATACTAAATTTGAAGAAGTGGTATAACAAACTTGTCTGTATACCATAATAACTATGAGATGCAAAACAGTGTGGTGGTTAAGGACAGAGACTCAGAAGCCAGATTTGGAGAATGTGAATCTAATAGAATCTGACTCTGACAGAATAGAGATTCAGTCAGTTTTCTAGCCACTGAAGTAAGTTACTGACCTCTATGTGCCTCAGCTTCCTCATCAGTAAAATGGGGTAATAATAACCTCTTCTATAAAGTCTGTTGTAAGGATTAAATCCATGGTAAGCCTTAGAACAGTACCTGGCACATAGTAAGTGCACAGTAAGTGTTACAACACTGTATCTACAGGCGTGTTGGGAGGAGGGGGGAACAACAACAACAAAAAAAATAGCAAAATGGGATGATAATTATTTTTAGAATGATGGGATTGTGTGGGTTTTTTTTTCTATTTTCTAAATTCTCCTTAATGTGTTTATAAAATTGTCAATGTGATTTAAGTTTGTTTTTTGTTTTTTTTTTTCATGAGACATCCCCTTTATTCGGTCACAGTAGTGGGTCTTACTACTACATTTTATTCTCAAGTTTTTCCTTATTCTTCAGATTCTCCAGGCTTCCAGATGTCAGTGCGATTTGTTTTAAAAGGAACTAAGAAAAGACTACCAAATAGCTCTTCACTGAGTGACAGGTACGTGAAAACTTATATTATTGTCTCTACTTTAGCGTACCATAATAAAAAAAATTTTTTTAAGGGAAAAGTATCTCCCCAGCCTAAGGATTTCTCATACTTTACAAAAGCTGACTCTACATTTTAGTCTTACCGTGACAGATCATATTTATATGAAGTTAGGAGAGAGTGAAACGCATGAAAATTAAAAATCAAGACTCACCTCGAAGGGAGAATATCAAGAACTGCCTTAGTTTGTTGGGGCTATCATTTCATTTTTAAAAAAGAAATGCTCTGCAATGATGTAGTAGAATGTAAACATATGCATATATAGGTTTATACAATATTAATATCTCTACCTGAGAAGTAACTGCTTCAGTGTTTTTCTGGTCTGATGGTTAAATACATATTTATACTTTTAAAGTCAATATTTGTACAATAGACAAGAACAGTGCCTATCAGCTAAATACATATTTAGGACTGTACCACATGTATTACAAACATGTACTAAAATCGAAAGCTTATATTTATACAGAGCCTTTCATCTTGAAGGGGGCTAAAGAGCTTTACAAACATATGTACATAAAAGGACGTTCGCACTGATAGGCAGACAAGGTATCAATTCACCCACTCCCCTATTTCTTCTAGCAGCCTGGGATAGGAACACATGGTGTCAACAGATGCAGGTCTGTTAAC